AGTTCATTGGTAAGAGACGTGCAGCACAGCTGTGACTGCAAGTCTATTCAAACCCTCATGAAGGCAAAATTCCCCAAGTTCCCTTGTAAGCAGATTTGAGAAAGTCTAGGTAGCATTAAATGCTGCTCAGTTTTTGGCAATCCAACAGGTCAGGGACCTAACCTGTCCAGGTTGATAAAGATGATGCTTTCTGAGTCGTCAATCAGTACTCTGAGTTCACGAGCTTCATTTGCAAGATCTTCTGCTTGTCTGTAGTAATTCTCCAACAGTAGCTCCATTTCCTCTGCATGGTCAATCCCAGACATACTCTCCTCACTGTGAGCAACAATTTATATTTTTCCGGTTAGCTACATATTGTATACAAGTGTATTAAGGCACATAAGAGTTGTGGGGAACAAGAGTGCTGTTAGACACTAGACCTCAAAATCCAATCTTTTTGTGAGAAAATTCCATCAATTCCAACAGCATAAAATAAAAGGGATATTTTTTTATTTATCAGCAGCTCAGCATAGGCAGTCAATTATTCTGAGTAGAGCAGTTAGCATCTGATATGCATCAAGGCATGCACACCACCACAAATCTTAGTTTTTCAGATGTTACAAAGTTAGAAAATTATGTAAATTTTATATTATTTATAAAGTTTATATTACTATAAATGTTTATATTATTAAGTTACAAAGTGCTGACAATTTTGACAGGAGATGCTTAACTTCTTGGTGCCCTCAAGTGGTGGGAGTTTGTAACAGTGCAGTCAAAAACTCCAAGAATAGAACATAACCAAGAGTCAATACACAAACAATTACACAGTGATGGAGATGGTTTAGGTGTGTATTAAAATAGTTTAGCTGTAAGGCATTTGAGCTATACACAGCAATTACTGCAAAGCGTTTTGGGAGCATGAAGCAGCCAAAGAGTGACCATCAAATGAAAGATCCTCCTCTCCTGAGAGAAACCTGTCCAAGGGACTTTCATCTTACTCCATAGTGCTACTGCTGCAGCAGCGGCCTTCCTCTGAAACAGGAATGTATGTTTCTGGCATTGTGTAGATGAAACCTGAGGCACCTGAGATCCACAGGAGCTTGGAAATCAGCAGCAAAGCCAGGAAGATTCTTCATAATTTTCTCTTCTGTGGTATGATCTAATTTCTCTAGAGACTGAAGTTTTTTAAGAATATCCTCAAGGCATTACTGACTGCTAAAGGAACCTCTCTGAAATGGTTTTACAAGAAAATAAGCAGTATGGCTTATGAATCAACCCACCTAAGCTCCCTGAGGACCTTTAGCAGAGCCCATAGTTTCTCTCTAATGGGGCTAAGCTGACTTGAAAGCCCTCCAGACCTTGAGGTTTTCATTGCATGGAAATGAGAGGAGCTGCAGACTTGAAAGCCTTAGAGCACTATCTGCTGTATTACAGATTCAGCTCAAGGTCTTATTTG